TTCAGCCATGTTGTATTGCTCATGTGGCTAAAACAATATATGAATCTGTATTTGATTCAGCAAACTGTTAAACTCTAGGCTGTAATAGGGATGATCAGAATGTAGTTGCTTCACTGATTACCCAGATGAGGTAGAAAGGGCAAGAATAGTAGATATTTTAAAGAACAGTAAGCTGAAGAAAGTTCTGTTAGAAATTTCAGCACAATCTGAAAATATCCCCATGTACTTCTTTTAAAGTACAGATATTAGGTTGATGGGAAGAGAAGTGCAGCCGCCTCTAAATCACTAAGCATAGAGCCTCTAGTAAAGTGCTGAATCACTAAAATGCAATTCTCTAACATAAAAATATTCAAAAATTATTTAAATAATAAATCTGTACTAAAAAATGATGGGTCTAACACTATGTGAACACTTGCTTCTCTGGGGTGACAGGCTTATTGGCATGGTTCATTGCTAGGCTTTGCCTTTGGTAGGAATGATACTTTATATAATGCTTATGCAACTTTAAAATGTTTATAAAAAGGTCTTGAGAACTATGTGTGTTACCATTATTGTGTATATATTATGATAGAAAGGAATAGCCTATATATACATAGTTTTCAAAAACAGCACATTGTCTCAGATCCATTCATATGGTAAAAAGGATTTATTCACCCAGGACGAAACATGACAAGACAGTGAGAGAACAGTAGAGCAGGAGGAGGAGGAGGAGGAGGAGGAGGATTTTATTGGAGGAAGTGAGAAGAATGTCAGCAGGTGGGGGAGGCACATGGGGGAACAGTAGAAGTTGAAGAACTTTAGTCAAAACTGGCCAAAGACACTAATGGGGACTATACTGCAAGCCAGACAAATGGCTGTTCTCTCCAAGCAAACCTGCGTAAACAAATTTGAGAAGAAGAATGAGACACAACAGAGTGGCAGTCCCTGGAGCACTAAGCAGGGTTTGCCAAGTGTTTTAATCAAGGTATGAGAGCCTATCAATATTATTGTCCCACTCTTCAAACTTTGTCCATATATAGAAAGAAAGCAGCAACAATACTGAAGACTGCAAAGCCAGAAGCAAGAGAAAATCCACCAAATTCCTAAATTACCTGCATTCTCTCCACAGCAGTTCAAAGGCACTTGATTTGATGCCTTGAATCACCCCAAATATTTGATTTAAAGATCTGATTCAAAAGAATAATCCAGTTGAATCAATTTCAGATTGCATCAATTTCAGACTGAATCATCCATTTAAGTGTTTACACTGTTTACCATGTTCAGGAACAGTGTATTGAGATTGTGATTTAGAAACATTGCTTACCTAAATTAATGGTACAGCTCTACATTGGGGAGATATTAATGTGTCACTGAAATACACATATCAGGCTCTCTCTTAAAATAGTCAAACCATAAAAGAGATAAAAATGCCACTGTGGGAATAATGCTGACTTATAAACCTACTGTGAGTGATTTTGAAGCTCTTTATTCTGATATGAAGACTTGCATTTCTGTATTTGCTTTATGTAAATTATTCAGCTAATTATTGCTGATTTACATGAATGGTCAGGATCCTGGTTTGCTGTGACTCATTTTTAGCTTTTTAAAAAATACTATGACTACACGGTATGCAGAATATAGTTCTGCACACAGTGAAGAGCTGTAGAAAGATGACAATTGAAGAGCAGAATGAATAATTTAATATGAAGGCTAGGAAAAAAAAATGTTTCTTGGATTGTAGGATTTTGGATACTATTTTAAACATTTTAGTTATTATTATATAGTAGTACCTGGTGTGCTTAGTGGTATCACCATTGTGATAAATAATTCAGCAAAATGTTGTTTGAATCTACATATTTCTATTTTTCAAGAAATTATTAATTTTAATATTACTGACTCTGCCGTTTGGCAAGAAAACAATCTCCAAGTAAAATAAATCATAGTATAATTCTGTACATTTCTAATCAGAGTTATTGTGTTCAACAGGATTTGCTTGATAGTGATTGACAAATTGCAACCTCGATTAGTTAAATTATATATCTTATTTACTGGCATTTCATAACCACGGTGTCCCCTTTCTTGGTTTTAGCATTAGCAACAGTGTCTAGAAATATTTTAATAAGCAAGAAAAACGTATCTCCTTACAGGTGTTTATTGCTTATTAATATTCACAGGTTGTTCTCTTATGTCAATTGGATTTTAGTCCTTCATGTATCACTAATAGAAGTCAGAAGTGGTAGGGCTTATTCAGAAAGACAAGTCATTTATTTTTGAGTTCAGGGCTTCAAAAAGAAAACATCTGGAATAAAGTATCTTACCTTTCTTGCTATAGTTGATTGAAGGCCCTTAAAAGCAAACATTTTTTAGCAAGCAACCTGAAATATCCCCCTATCCATTCAGCAGATACTGAAAAATATTACAAAATAGCTTTTTTTGCAGGCAATTATTTTTCTCTCTTTGACATTTGCCTGATGTTATGAAGGCTGTAGCTGCTGTTAGTGAGGATGCATACAATGAACTTTGTACTGTATATGATACAATGTATCAGGGGTCTGTAGTAAAAAGGAAGAACAGGCATAAATGAATCATAGTTTACAAATAAGGCCAAAGTGAGGGCTTCCAAATTTCTTTCATCAGTTAAAGTCTCTTTGCTTGCATCCTGTATAACATTGACTGTTTTAAGTATAATCTTCCTATAGATGGAAAAAGCAATTTACTATTTTAAGTTGCTTTAAAAAATATTTGGGTAAAATGTTTTATAAAATGTGAATTGTTATTAAAGTTTGTTGGACACAGTACAAGTATATAGTAATGCAGGATTGATATCCATATGCTTTGTCCTGTGGGGGGTGGGGTGAGAGAGTTTAGTCAGATATTGAAGGACAAAATCCATCACATTAGCCATGTAGAAACACTACAGCCAACCCATGGTTACAAATCTAAAAAACTACCATACTAGATGCAAGAAGAGTCAGACTAGAAGAGTGGTCTTAGTGTAGATGAAGGTCAGTATATCCAAGAAAATAGTTCAGTCACAGGTTGTGCAAAACAGGCTGAGATGAACATTGTCTCCATCAAATATCTTAGCCTCTGATACTAATACTTTATAAAGTTTCCAGCACAAGGCCTATTCCCAGGTCAACTGTACTCATTATGTTACTGCCTCCTGAGGAGACCATCTTCCCCAGGAAGGCCAACCCAACAGTCTGACAGCCCTCCACAGTCCACATGTTCCTCATTTGGCCCTACATTCATTTTCCAAAACAATATCAAATTTGGGGGCCTTCTTCATTCTTACAAATAATTTTTACACTATGGAACATCTAATTTCCTATTGCTGTAATTTTTTTAATCAGCTCTGAAATCAAAACTGTAACTCTGTAGATGTTCTTATGGCTTTGACAGTTCTTATTCTCTTTAGAGGAGGCATGCCATGTAGACCAAATCTCCACAAAGGAGATTTCTTCTCCACTCACCTACCAAGCTATTTCTCCAGGGCCTCAGGCCTTACTGTTTCCTTGTCTCAGCTCCTACAAAAGAGAAATTATTTATCTCTGATGTGTACCAGATTAAAGACCTTACTCCAGCCCTAGCAAATGAAAAGCGCTTACTTCAGGCCTGCTATAGATCAGAGAAAAACCACACTCCCTGCCAGCCACTGAGAAAGGAAACCTCTCTATAAAGCTGGGGAAAAGCTTATCCAGTGTCCTATTTAACTGATAGGCATTGACTAGCTGAACAGGTGTATGTTGCATGGGGTAGGTGTGAATATAGATTATATAGTGATTATTTATGTGTGTGTGTAGAGCACATGCTAGCAATATCACTGCTCACTGCTGGCATGTGTTCTAGTTGATTAATCAATGTTGAACAAATGTGAGCAGAATTCATCATGATAAGTTTGCATTGTAATCCTAAATATTTTGCTCTAATATTTTGCCTTCTCTGAGTATAGCAAATTGAGGCAAGGGCCTTGTTATAGGTGATTTGGAACAAACAGATATCTATATAGACAGTTTAGGCTATACTACTACTCATATTTGCCTATGTGTAAGCCCTTGTGCTACAGTATTCTTCAGCTTTCAGTTTTAATCCTCAAAGCAACAACAGCCCTTCAGTGTTTCTAAAATGTTGCCTGCTTAATTAAGTTTTCCAGCGACCCAGCAGAAAATAGACTAGATTGTTTTAAATAATGAGATGTTTAAATGATCAATTTAAATGAGAGTTTCTGCTTTTTTCAAATGCATGTGTAAATTAGCTATTCTTACTACTAGAATGTCCTGGTTTGTCTCTAAGTAACCTGTTCTAAACAATAATTCTAAATCTTTGGGAATGTTCTCCATGTTCCAGTAGAATCATATGTTATAGAAATCATCAATGTATGCAAGACTATAAAGCAGGGTTACTTTCAAGTACTTAAAAATTGAATTCTGTGAACCATCAATTGTAAATACTGTAAAACTGAATAAAATATAACTTTCTTTTGGTTAAATGTACACTTGATATATCATGTGTTATTGAAGCAGAGTTGGAATTTATTGGATGGAACATTTCTATTTATTTAATTTGATTTAAAAAAACACCTCCCTTATTGTGCTGCTTGGACATAAGCAGTAAATTTGCTTTCTGTGAGTTGGAACAAGATTTTGTTTCCTGCACACAGAAAGGCTCTTTCCATCCGTAGATGGCTTTTGGTCCAAAGAAGAAATCCCAGTGATACAATGAAAAGTGCAGCTCTTTTTGTTAACTTGCTTCCCCCCTCTGCTTCCCACTGTCATCCTAAAAGTTTGCTCCAAAGGTCTAAAATCCCCAAGAACTGTAGCAGCAGGAGAAAAATTGACAGTGCTGTATTTCCTCCTACACATTTTGTTGGAATTCCACTTATAAAAAAGTCATAGTCGTGATAAACTAGCAGGATAGAATCCAGAGTTTAGTATTTATATTTGATTTGTTCTTCTGAAGATTTATATATTTTCTTAAAGGTAGCTCTTTATTTTGTTTCTTTTGTCATGTATATTTAGATTAGATGAACAGGTTAAAGAGTTTTTGGAAGATATTGATCCTGAAAGCATTTTGGAAATTGGGGCTGACATGCGGAAGATCAAATACTGTTTCAGCCACTTAAAGGTATGGTGCATTGTGGTTTCAACACATTAGCAAATGTGAGATATATTTTGATTTATTAGGCAATTTTAAAAGAGAAGAGGAAGTGTATGCTCCTAATTAGAGACTAATTAGTATACATATTAAATGAATTATGTTTTTCTTCTAGCATTAATGACATTTACTTATTGTAAATGAGAAACTCCCAATTTTCCACTTGATGTTTGATATAGGAAGCTATAGTCTATTAATCTAGGGATTTTGTTGTTGTTGTTCACGTGCTCCTTTTTGCATTGACTTTGGTCATGATATTTTTAAAAAGTTTCCTGTTATGTCTAAAACAGTGAAATGTGGTTTGCTTGTTTAATAACCAGTAGCTGAAAAAAGGTGGAAACTGTAATTTAAAGAAAGTGCAGAGTATTTATTCCTAAATTGCTGGGTATCCCTTCTTAAATAAACCATGATTTATTTATTCAGGAGCTTTATATCTAAAGCAACTCTATAATTAGCTCATGTCTTATTTTATATTGCTGAATATTATTTTATAACTGTTCAACTATTTGCTTAATATTTGTAGCTTTATGAAATTGATAAAGAATATAAAGGAAGCTCCACGTGTGCCTATATTAAGATAACGGAGAATGAAAGTAAAAAAAAAAAAACTGGGCTACATAAAAAAGTACTCCCCAAGTACCAAATAGAAAAAAGTAGTTGGGGGAAAAAATATGATAGGGAGTTTAATTAATTTGCTGGGGCTTATGTACCACTCTAAACAGAATGTAAAGGATATATTAGCAAATAAAGTAATTTATAATTGTATTCTTCAATTGGTGGTTGTAGCCTAATTTAGAATTCTTGTATACTGGGATTTGATTATGAGCCATCAAGTCAGTGTTGACTCTTAGCAACTACACAGAATACAAATATATGTTTTACAATAAACTTTTTAATACAAATATATGTTTTAAAAAATTAAGTAATGGGCTGAAAGGTAGATCTTATATTTGCAAATATTAAAAGTACTGATTGAGGCCAAATCACAAAGTTGATGTTAAAAAGGTCAGTATATCTTACTTAGAGGAAAACAAGCAGAGGAAAATTTAAGTTTAAGAAAGAATTCGATTTTTTAGAGGAAAGAGAGTCAGAATCTTAGGAAGAATGATTGCCTAGTTGACCAAAGGAGAACATGAAAATTATTCTGAATTGATTAAAGGAGAGGAAGCTTTTGAAGCTAGATGGTCCATAAGGGAAGTCTTTGTAGTGGCTTGGTATGATAACACTATGAGTTTGTGAAGTCTCCTCCTTACAGAAAATGAAGAAATGAAGGAAGATTAACTACTAATTAAAATAACCTCATTGTATTTGATTCAACAGAGACTGGTAAATGATGCAAAACTTCCTGGCAACCATTTACTTGCACCAGATACTCAGGGAGATAAAAGTGCTAATACTATAATTGGCAATGAAGAGTTTAAAAAACTGAAGGATCTTTTGCAGCAACGAGATAATGAAATCAGTATCCTTTCTGAAAGAACAATCTTTATTGGATAAAAATCTAGTTGTTATTCCCATGACAGATCTGTTTCTGTAAGTAGAATAGCAAGCTTTCATTCTATTCTTTGCCACATGACCTCAGGTCTCTTCCAGAATGTTAAACAATCCTCAAAAGCGGATTTTGGGATGAGGGGGAGGAGAGAAGAGGAGAAGTACACTTCATTAAAAAATGCTTTAAAATTCATCTTGTATAATATTAGCTTCATTTTTTCTATTTAATAATAACGTGGACAGTTTCAATATTGTTAAATGAATATAGGTCAAGCTGGATGCATCTATTTTCAGTTACCATCTGTTCACTCTGGAACAGCTTGCCCCTTGAGGTCAGGATGACCCATGCCCTGTTATCACTCAGGAATGCAGTTAGAACCATGCTTTTCCACAAAGCTTTTGGAGAGGAAAGCAGTCAACATCTTATGGGGGGCTGGGTGGGTGTTGATTTAGCCAACATAAGCACTATGATGATTAATTGGTTTTATTGATTTTTTACTATCTTGAATTGTAAACTGCTTAGAATCAGTCAAGGAAGCAGCATAAATAAATACATCCTTAATACTCTGAGCATTTTAAAATTTGTAATAGCTGTAATTTGGCATGGGGTAATAACAGTTTAGGTACTCCTGATCAAATTGTATGTTTTAATGAATTCTGAGGAATAAAGTTGACATAACCTGAACATGGTACAGAGTTAAACATGACATTCCAATGGTGATGAGCTTCAGGATACTAATTATTTGATATCCTGACAAAACCCTGCATTGATATATTAAACATCACATTTCTGAAAATTTGAACATTTATTTACTGTTTATGTGCAGTTGTTTACTGATTCACAATAAGATAACAGTGAATAGAATTTTTGACCCCATTCCAGTTGATTCAGTACTTTTTTTGTTAATGTAATTTTTTTTCTTAATGCTAAGTTGTTATTATTAAAGTTGTTAATAAGACTCAAAGGAGTAATTCACTCATTAAGATTACAATTACAGTCAGGTGAAGACAATTCCACAGTTTAACAGATACTCTGAGCTAACCTCTCATGTTGTAATTTTTTCTGTCTACTTTCAATAACTGTGGGTTCCTCCTGTACTCAGCTGCCTGGGCATTTGAAAATAAAGATAATTCACTCTTAACAAGCAGGTGAAAATTATAAAAAAAAGCTTCTACACACTCCCAGCTAGAAAGTTCAACTGTGAGAAACATTATTAAGAAATGGAAGTTACATGGAACTCTTGAAGTCAAGGCAAGATCCAGAAGACAAGAAAAATCAGCTAGAACTGCCTGAACACAGGTCATATCAAAACAGAACATGACTTACTATAAAGTTTAGTTGAGCAGAGTAGAGTAGAGATCCACAGAACAACATTGCTGATACAGCAATGAATCTACATGGGAGAAGTGTCGGAAGGAAACCTTTTCTCCAACCTTGCCACAAAAGTCATTGTCTAAAACATTTGATAAGCCTGAAATATTTGGAACAAAATACTTTGGACTGATGAAATGAAAATTGAATGGTTCTGCCACAGCCACAAAAGATACATTTCAAGAAAACCGGTGTGAAGCATTTGAAGAAAAGAACAATGTGTGAAACTATTAAACATAGAAATGGCTCTGTTATGCTTTAGGACTGTACAGCAGTGGCACAACATACAGTATACTGTGCAGGTGGGAGGAAGAATGGATTCAACTAAATATCAACATATCCTAGAAGCTAATGTCCCATGATCAGTAAGGATACTGAAGCTGAAAAGAGATTGGATATTTCAGCAAGACAGTGGTCTTAAACATATCTCCAAATCAACCATGAAGTAGTTAAAGAAAAGAAAGACTAAAGTTTTGGAATGGTCTTCACAGTCCCCAGAGTTGAATATTATTGAAAATCTCTGGGGAGATCTTAAACATGGAGTGGATACAAGGAGACCTAAGAAGAGTTCACCAAGAAGAGTGTGGAAAAAATCCCAAACCAAACATATCCAATTTCATATTTATTGATAGGAGATTGGTTCAGGTTAAAATATTTTAAAATGTCTTCACTTTTTGTTTTCAGCTTGTTATATTTTGCCCAAGCATTTCATATTTTTATTTTTTTCTTCTTCCATTTATAATGAACTGATAATAGAGGTAAGTGAACGGTTTGACTTTTCTCAAATATTAGATAATATTTTATTATAGAGTTTTTTGGTACCTCCTCCTATGCAAAAGCAACTCAAAGCTGCACGTATCTTAGTTTTGCTCATGCTGTATATGTTTGGAATGTGGTTAGAATAAATACACTGATCTTCTTAGCCACTAACAACTTTAAGAATAAATCTAGTCTGATACTGTAAGCTAATGACATGAGGTCAGAAGAGTAGGGAATCAATAAGTAAATATAATAAAAGATTCAAAATAATTATTCTTGTTTGTGTAACCAGCAGTCTTTTTACATAAACATATTTGTGCTTATTGTTAAAAAGTATGTTAAAAACTTTCCTTAATGTAAATGTTAGATATTTTAATAAATATGTTAAAGAAGGAAAAAAAGAAAGCACAAGATGCCCTTCTTCAGCTTAGTGCTTCATCCAAGGAAATCTCAGCCACAGAAAGTTCCTTTCATTTGAAAAATATGGAAAATGAGCAGATGTTGTCTGTCATTTCGGAAACTAAATCTAGTTCTCACCCCAAGAGCCCAGGTCAGAGATACAATTTATTCTCAAATATTGAGTTATTGCATAGCCGCCTTTGAAGGACTGTATACAGGGTGGAATAAGAAGATTGAAAATCGCATTTCTATATAAATTATTTGTTCATTTGTTTATACCATGAATATACAAAAAATGTTGCCTAGTCTTCTCAGTGTCATAAATAATTTTCATATCAAGAGAAGAAGCATCCTCTGGAAAAAATATAACTGAGAAATCTGTCTCTCTGTGAACTATGCTGTCATCTGATAGGCATTTCAGTACATAACTCTCTAATGAATCTCAGCATCTGGACATCTTTGGAAATTGAAAGAAATCACCATAGGCACTGCCAGAAATAGCCAGTATAGGGACCCACAGGGAGTAACAAAATGGCTTCATAAGTCGTAAAAGTCTGTCTTGAAGGGCCTTGCCTTTTGGTGAAGTTTCCTGAAAGGATGCTTGATAATGGCAAACTGGCTACTGCAAGAGGCCCCAGGCAAATCATAAAATGGTTCTTTCAGCACTGGGGCAGCTAGTCACAAGATATATCAGAGTATAAGGTAGTACCTGGGTCTCTCCCCCAGATGCTAAACCACTTATTTACTTCTACGACACATTATAAAATACTGAAGGAACTAGGGATCTTTCACAAAAACCTTGAATGTAGACAGAAACAAAAACTACACAAATACAAACAATGTGAGCCTGGGAAACTATATCAAGGAAAGGAAGAGGACAATATGGTAAGAGGTACTTGCTTTTTTAAAAAAATAGAATATCCAGGATAAATTGATGTTACAGTAAGCATAAATGATTTAAGGTGATTGAGCCATGGTGGCAAGAAGAAAACACATTTGTTTTTATATTGGTAGCTAAGGCCAAGTTTATATAGATATTTTGTGGTCTAAGATCAGCAATTAATAATATGGCACCTGCAGTGCTAGGGTGACCATCAACCTGTAACTGATTCTTGTGACACAACAAGAATTTTTGTAGAAATGTGAGATGTCAGTATTCCCAGAAAATATCAGGGTGAGACTGCCAAAATGTTGTAAAATTAGGCATTCTTGCAGGATTTGAGGTACGGTGCAACTAAAGGCAGTTGGTTAGTTTGGGAGAAGTGGGTAAGTTGCCTGGCATCCACAATTTCAATAATTTGGCACCACTCCCTAACATCTGTTGGCTCATATTAGGGACAGCTCTACTGAATGACATCACTGAGGCCTAATCATGCATCATGTTATTTTTAAGTAGATTCAAAAGAATTAAGTTCACAAATTTCAGTTACTTTGGCTGCAAACTTTCTTTATTAATTAAAAGATTCATTTGTTCTATAAGACACAATTATTTGAAGTTTTTTTTTCATTACCAATACTTATTAATGAGTGCAGTATAGCAATTTGCCCTAGGAGTACAGATTTTAGAGTAATATTGATTCTTGATTCCATTTTTAATTTAAATACAGTAGCCCAAAACAATTAGCATGCTAGAATAAATATAAGGTGCACAATATTGTAATGTATGTACTATTTTGATTACTAAAAGTGTTGCCTCTAGACTTTTCTTGGAAGTTCAAATTTAGCTCTGTACAGCAATCTGACACATGTTTATTTTAAAGAAAGTTCTGTTGAATTCAGTAGGACTTCCCTTTCATTAAGTCCAAAAATATTCAAAAGAGTTTACCATTTGGTAGAACATGAATGAATATTTATTACAGTCAAAGGCCAGAGATAAAAAGTATAACTGATAACAGCAAAAAAGATCATTAAATAAAAATAGAATAATACAGGCAAGTGTAATAGTTGGAATAATAGTGTATTAAAACTACAACTGTTGGATACCTTCTCTGTTTTACTAAAAATCTTATGTGACTCTCTTGATTGACCAAAGTAGAAGAAAAATTGAATAGCTCAGAAAAACCGCTGTTTTAAAACATCCATTATTCAGATCCTGTTTGTTTTAATAACCTAGGTCATGCATGAGTACAATGCTGAGAAACTTATTTGTGTTGCACAGATGGTTGATTTAGCTTAAATTAAACTCTACACATTCTAGTTATGTTGTCTTAATACTGGCTTCTATAGTCCATGTGCCATGAAAAGTTCTCTGGTAAAAGTAAATAATTGCTGCTGCTTTTGTGTATTGCTCTTGAGAGAAGCTGTGTGTTGTTACAGCTTTCTTTTCTCCTTTCTTCATTCTCTTCCTCATTCTCCAAAATTCAGAAGCTCTTTTCAGAAAATAATACAGGCAATGTTTTCCTTTTCTATGGCAATTCTTTTTTTAATAGAGTTTAAAATCACATTTATATTTTAAATGTTATATTCCTTCCCAGAATTGTATTATGTGATGTAACTTAAAGCCAAAATAGAGCTATGGCTGAACAAGATCAAATCATCTGAGTTAAAGAGTCCTCACATTTCTTACAACATAAAGAGTTCATTGGAGTTAGGCAGTTATAATAAATTTGAATGAATAAAATAAATAAAATAGAATACATGATATCCAACCTTTTTTAAACATTAAGGAGTCCTATAAATATAGGACAATATTTTCTGATGAATTAATTTCACTCTTAAATCATTAAGAAATATGTTATACATTTCTTAAAACTTGGACCAATTGGTTTTCTAAGATTGGATATTCAGATTCCTCATTCCATCTTTCATATATATTACTAATGTTAACCTTCATTCAGTTTTTTAGTTGCATGTAAGAGTTGTTGATTTCGCTACAAACACAGCATCCCTTAGGGATCCTAGGATTCCAGACATCTCTGAAGTTGATAAGGCATCTGGTCTGTATTTTATCAATATGTGCTTCAGTTGTATATTTTGCCAAGCAGATCCTATGGGTAAATCATAGTCAGATCATAGTCTCTCAAAGTCTTTAAAACAGCCATCAGAAATCAGCTAGTTTAAGGTATTTATTCCTTGTTTGGCCCAAGCTCTACAATAAAACATCTTCTAATTTGGATTATTCCAAATTTTGTGGTAGATTGTCATCCTCCTATTCACTCTAGAGATGGGCCTGGAAGATTCTTGTGTTGCTTTCTGTGGGATGGGATAGTATCATCCCCATTTGGCACTGTCTTACTCTGGAGTCCATACATGCCCATTGGCTCCACTTCAGGAAGATCTCAGCCCTTCAAATAGTGATCCACTTTCATCATCTGACTTCTGTTCCTCAACTTTCAGGAGTTCAGTGGTGATCTGAGCAAGAATGCTATCTAGTTAGGGGTGCCACAAGGGGGGTTAAAATGGGGACCATAATGCAATTGAAGCCCCACCCCTTTTTATGTAGTTCATGACAGGGCTTAAATTTCACAGTTGTGGCCATCATCTTACTTTTTTAGCTTCATCCTGCAGATGCCCTATGTTGAGCTAAGATTTACTCTTCTCCTAACTCATCCTATTACTCGTTTTGGACAAGTGAGCTACACCATCATCATGCTGGTGTTGGGTTCAAATTGTGTAGCATTATCTTGTTATGTTTTCTAGTCATACACTGAAGTGATAATCCTAACATCATCAAACCTTGAGGCTATAGCAGCATAGAGAACTTAATCACTATCTGTTGGTCTACAAACGGAGTGACTGAGTTGCACTGTAAACTCTCATGGGAAATGAATTATTATTTCTGATTCTAGATTTATCAGTTCCCTATCATTCCCTAGCAATGATAACTGTGTTTTCTGGTAATTTGCCCTCTCATGTATTTTCCTCATTTATTTTGTCATTTTTTACATGAGCCTGAGTTAAATGTTAGTGTATGCTAGGGAGGGTTTAATGGACATACATTTATTTGATATAAATTGCTTTTCATTTTTTAGAAATACTTCAGTGTTTGATTATTCATAAATAAATGGATTTGCTTACCATTTTCTGTCTAGTCCGCTTATCAAGTTACTGGCAACGTACAGAAAACTCAGATATTATTTAAAAAGTAAACCTGTAAAAACTATTAAATTTGAATTGAGTGAGAGACTTATCTACATGTCAGGCAAGTGAAAACTGCCTAGTTTAACTGAAATACAGATAAATCCTTTGGGTTCAAAGTAACTCTAATTTTGGCACAAAGAAGAAAGATTTGTTCCAGGTTTAATTTCTACTGTTTTCATTCCCACTTGGTTAATTCTCTTAATTCTCATTTTTATCTATTTCCAATTGAGTCATAAAAAGAAACCTGACTGAAGGAGGAAAAGAGAGTGACTTACATATTCCGTGCATATATAGAGTGAAAATATATCCAGCAAAAGTATTTCTGAAACAAGGAAAGGAAAAAACACTGAATACAAGTATTTCCAGATGAATTGAATATTTTATTCTAGAACTCATTGCCTACACTTGCTGCATTCAGTGAGAAGGGATGAAAAAGTAGCCAATTCAGACCACCTAATGCAGACCACTATATCTGCCTTGTTTTCTTTTCTGGGAGAGAGAGAAAGATCTCAGTTTTGAGGTTAAAAGTACAGATTTGTAAGAAATATGAAATATTTGTTCTAGAATTACTTGTCTTGTGAACATTTTTACCTTTTTCTCTTTTGCATGATGCTATTTATTTGTCCTGTCTGCTGCAACCAGTGTGTATTGTCCCATGTTAGGACTTCTGTGCCAACATATTGAAGAACTTATAATTAACATAATGATATCACAGCACCATAGTGATGACATCACTAGAGCAAATACAATTGTTAAAACTGAGGGCAGTGCTTCTTGAAATAATCATTTAAGTACTCCTAGGCAATCTTATTGCAAATGGCAAAACCAATCACAACTAAAATCAAGATAAAAGTATTCCTTGCATGCTTCTACATCCTCTTTCATCAAGAGAGGTTTTTGTTCTGAAAATCCTCGTGTGTGTCTATACATTTGCTATAGTTCTATTAAACTAAAGAAGGTCTGTATAATATTTTACAATTGGAAAATACTTGAAATCAGAAGTAACTCCATCCCATCTTCTTAATAAATCTTACTAAAGAGACATTATGAGAATCATGCTTGGAAAAGATT